GTGTTGGCCAACGATATCGATAATTCGATACAATATTGATATCGTAGGTTTTTTCTTAATAATTTCGATATCGATATCTAAAAATAATTATCGAAAATATCGCGAAATCGGTGTGATTAATCGGGGCTCGGAATTTTGCGGTTTTACGGATGATTAAACACTAAACTGAGTAAACAGTATAAAATAAAATAATATTTTATTATATCTGTAAAAGTAGATTAACGTAGATTATGATACGAGGCGATATTAATATGTTCCAAAGAAATAACTCACCACACCAAACAATTTAATCTGAATTCAGTACCGGTTGTTAACTCGCGGTGAGACGTCGTGTTTTTTTTCGTAATTATTCCTACGATGAAACAACTTGAAGAGTATAAAAATTTGAAAATCAAATTTCCCTACGATCAAGATCCTTTAAATTGGTGGAAAGAAAACGAATCTAAATACTCACCTGTATCATTACTAGCCAAAAAATACTTAAGTATAGTGGCCACTAGTGTTCCCTGTGAACGGTTATTTAGCGAAACTGGAACAATCATTTCCAAGAAAATAAATTGATTATCTCCTGAGCGACTCAATCAACTGTTATTATTGATTTCATATTTCAAATCGAACCCAAGTTCTGAAACATTGATGGAAAAACTGCTCGAAGAAGACATTTGTTGATTAAATACATTGGATACTTTTCAGTTTGTACAAAATAATATATAATTGTTAATTAATTTTCACTCATAATATATTAAAACAATATGTATTCTATACTTTTAATATACTTTCAATACACTCATAATAATATAATATGTATTCTATACTTTTAATGTTTTAATATGCTTCGATATCGATATTGGTATTTTTCCGATATCACAATACGATATCGGGGAAAAAAATACGATATCGATATTGAAAATTATATCGTTGGCCATCACTAGTATATAATATGCGATGCGTATTGTTTTCGTGTGCCTACCTACATAACATATTATTGAATCGCACTTTTCAGAGTCGGACTGGCCCGGACCGCTAGTCCGCAATTGCGGACGGGGCCCTGGCTTAATTATGGTAGTTGGGGGCCCCTGATTTTGTACCTATTAATATTATTATTATTTGTTTAGAGTAAATAGAAATACGAAATAAACATTTTTTTTTTTCAAACCAGGAACGTATTTTTGTTTACAATGTTGAGACGTTCTCAAAAAAAATTTAAATAACGACATTATCATTATCATTCTACGAATTTAATAGCTATCTAGTGTCTATATACAAATATGTATCATTGATTTTAAATAGTGTAAAAGTATTGTGACTATTAAGAGGATGTCAGTGCACTATTTGTTTTCTCTCTCTAGCCCACGCGCAACATAGACAAAACGCATTAAAGCAGAATTATTTTTTCTATGTTTTTAAGTTATCTTAGAGTAAAATCCCCCATTACAAAAAAGATAGAGAATAATATTTTTGAGGGAACGACATATCGATTTGTATTTTATTGTTATTTTACTTTGTATTCGACTTTCAAAATAAACAAAAAAAAATTGTAAATTTAAATTATGTTTAAATTGTTTTGAGACAATATTTAGACAAATCGATATGTCATTCCCTCAAAAATATTATTCAGTATTCTCTATCTTTTTTGTAATAGGTGATTTTACTCTAAGATTACTTAAAAACATGATTCTGCTTAATGCGTTTTGTATATGTTGTGTATGGGCCAGAGAAAGAAAACAAATATGAAATCCTCTTAAATAATATTATATTATAATATTTATATGGGCGTATGCGTATGACTTGGTATTATTTCGTATTATAACTGATTTTAACTGAATTGAGGATTGTGGGATTTCCCCTGTCTGATAATAAAAACAGTCCGATGGCCGATGGGTCTCTTGTCGTCAATTTACTAAGTAGGTACCTGCAGAAAATGTCTTAGCATTTGGGAATATGCTCAATATAACTATATAACCAGTGCTTGAATTGGAAAAAAAATAGAAGGGGTATGCAAAAGTATAAAACATTTGTGCGTCCCCCCAACATTTAAATGTCTTATCAATTCTTGAAATTAGAAGGGGTACGCTAAAATATTTTAAAAATAGAAGTTGGACTCCGTCCCCCCGCGTCCCCCCCCCAATTCAACCACTGTATATAACTCTATATTTAAAATATAGTAAACCAATTAATATATCAAGTGATTGAATTTCAGTTAGGTACGTATTTAGTTATTTGTGCCTATATGTGGCTGTATGGTAAATATGGAAGATGGCAATTGTATTGAAAAAAAAATGTTCTATGAAAATTGTATCTCGAGCGAAGCGAGTTTTTTTTTTTGGGCTGATCAAAACATTTGCCATTTGAATGTAGGGGGCCCCTTTTTCCAAATCGCGGACTGGGCCTTTTCGAGCCAGTCCGACACTGGCACTTTTGCTCCGACCGAATGCTACGCAGTGCGTGCCAATGTGTATCGCGTATAATGTATATATATTATTACGTTATATATGAATATGAGGCTATAATACAAGTACGTGATTCTGAATTGTATATCATGCCTAGGAAATCGAAGACTATAATATGAATATTATATGATTACACGTCGCATATATAGCGTGCACCGTCGACGACACCTAGCGACGACGAAGGTTGCATCGCAGTTTCGATTTCAGTGCGGCTTGTGCATTCGGGTGTGTCCGGGAATCACGAATATCTCACAGTGCTCTTGTCACACGAGTGCAATTGAATATGGCCAGTAGGTATCGATTACGCAGGTCGCCGACCACAATGGTCCGGTTCTCTGTTCGTATTTCCTCAGCTCGTTACATTCGTACTCACTACTCTCCAATTGTATACGACGAAGACGCTATATAATAATATAGACTCTGGTGGGAAATTCTCACGATTCCGAAGTTTGCTGGAATATCTCCTCGACTTCCCCTCGATATCGCCACCACACTATACGCATAGGTATAATATTATTATTCTATTCGTACGTCCGAAGAAGCGCACGGCGAAGCCTTAAGATAATATAATAATGTATACATGATCACTGTCCCACACACACACACACACACACACACACACACACACACACACACACACACACACACACACACACCACACACACACATACACACAAACGTATACACTGCAAACATAATATATTATGTATGTTAATAAATCATATTTTTATATTATATAAGGTAAGAGCGATCTAAGTTCTTATTTTGTCAGCGTTGTGATAGGAAGAGCTTGGTGGTCAGAAGGGGGGAGTTTACCTTCAGATAAAACAAAATCATTTTTAAATGGTTATTTCATCATCACGTTCTAGACAACGGACATTTCATCCCGAGCATTTTCCGTAAAATCAAAACCTACCTAACATCTACTATAATATCAAGAACAATAATTATAATATTGTTGGTAGTCAAAGTGACGAACGTCGCACTATGTTTATTTTTTTTTTTTACCACTTATTATTATCAGGCTATACCTACTTGGGTTCTATGCGTGTTAACTATGCGTTCATAATAATATATGCAACATACACGTCATAATATAATTGTTGAAAGATTCATGCGCTCGACGACAACGATGTCATGAATGTTTTAGAACCTAACTTTGATAATAAATATTTCGCAACTCGTTTAATATGTTTTATAATGATATTCATTCGGTCGGGTACAAAAGTGCAAAACAAGCCTTTTATAGGATTCCATTAAAGACGTGTGCATGAGGGGAAGGGGACCGCAGAAATTTCGTCGTTAAGGAAAAATTAATTCCAGGGCTTGTGAAAACGCTTTTTCTGCTTTGATCGAGGAGACGGTAATGGGAAGGTTTATACACGTTCAAAAGTGTATTGCGGTTGCGGGGGAGGGGAGCGGTGGTTTGTTAAGTTTTTTACACACACACATCATAAATATACATGTATATAAATAAACTGTTGATATACATCAAATGTGTGTATTCTGGATGGCGGTGTGAGTTTGGGTAACTGGTGAGACGTCGGTGGTGGTGCGGTAGGAGGATCGAGCTTGTATTTTTGCTAGTGTTGTTAAAATACGGTATTTTATTTTATTTTTGTATTATACTGTATTATACCTTGTATTATACACATTTTATACGGTATAAAATCCTGTATTTAAATATATAATATACAATTATACAATTTAAACTTGATTACTCAACCATTGTCCATTTCCTATTTGAAAATTGAGTCTTATTAATACAAATAAAATAGTAATATAAATTAATAATAATATAAATTAAATTCATTAGTAATAACAAAGTCAACAAGTAAAGTAATAATTAACAATTTTAATAAACATAAATAACTCTTTTGGTTTTTTTTCTAAATAATAACTAAAATAAATGTTTAATGTAAAAAAGTAACAATAGTAAATAGTAATACTTTATAGGTTATAGTAACAATTTTAACACTTAAGTCTTTTAGTTTCCTGTTTAGTATAAAAAAAAAAAAATAATAGAAAATAAAATAAAACCTTTTTTTGTTTGTAAATATAAAATAATAGATTTTTAATAATCGTCTTCAGAATCAGATAGACATAAATTAAACATAATTTAAACAAAACGTGCATTCAAAGTATTCTGATTTACCTTTTTTTGTCAGTGATTTCTTAAAATATTTAGTAACAGCTTCTTTATATTTATTAGGCCGTCCCATTTTAACTTTTACTTCACACTTTTTACTTGTTAGTACTTATAGTAGTCTTGAGTTAAGAGTTATTAACAGTACAAGTTTGTAGTTAACGGTTGTTACAAAAAAAAAAAAGATAAGGAAAACCTCTTATTTTAACCACTTAGCGAAAAAAAAGTTTTATACAGATTTTATACCATTGTATAAAATAATTCTATACAGCGTGTATAATAACAGTATAATACGATTTTATACATTTGTATTATACAAATTTACATCACTAATTTTTGCCATTACCGTTTTTTGATACCGTCGTCAAAGAGATGGAGAAAGAAACGGTGTACGTTAGGCGGGGATGCGTACACGCGGGTTTGTAGATATGTTGGTGAAGAGGGGATGTGGTAGACGGAAAGATAAAGGCTGTTGTGGGCGGAAAGCACTTAAAAAGCTCCCCGCATTGTTTATTATACACCCGGTTTCTCAAGATTGGATTATCCCTCGGAAAACGACCGCAGAAATAAATAATACCGCGGAGGGCCGTTCACGGTCCGAGGATCAAGGATCGCACAAGCCCGCAATGCCGTTTGCAGATTATGGTCTCAACACTTTGAAACTTCACCGGCACGAGTGTACGACCTCCACTACTCTCTTTTTCTCTCTCTCTCGTACACACACACACACAGGCATTGGCCTTTAAAATATTCGACGAAAACGCGGGCTCACCGCGAATGACGTATAAATGTATATTATATATATTATGACTGCGTCGGAGAACTCGGTATAGTTCCTTTTACTTTTTTTATTTTTCAAAAGTTATTTCAAGATGATTTTCGAAATGGAATTTTCTTATTGGTTATCGCCGAATTTTTTACTTTGATAAAAATTCTGAATTCATAGCTGGATGAATGAGTAAATTTCTCATTGTTTTCTTTTCGGACGTCTTTATTTTATGATCAGTGATTACTTTCATCACGATTCATCACTGTCAGCCACGCCGTGGCCTTTGATTATTATTATTATTATTATTATAAGAGCATCGTAAGTTGGATTTGACTCCGTCGGGGTTTTCTAATGAAACTGTCGTTGTCGCCATCGTCGTCGTAGTGCGCTAGGTCAAATTTGAATATAATTCGCGAGACCGGAGCGCAATCAATCACGACCCCCCGGGTAAGGGGTAGTCGACGGTCCGCGAAATTAAAAAAAAAAAACAGAAAATATAATACCTCTGTTGTATGGTAGTAGAAAACCGGATCGAGAATATATACAGGGTTGGCGGGTGGGGGTACACGGTCATATTTCACAGTTGCGTGAACATTGCGGGCCACGAGCTATAGCGAGAGATGAGAACGGAGTGCTGCTGAATTTATCATTTTCAAAATAATATGACATGCCCGAAAATACGAAAACAAAAAAAAAAAATACTAACGAAATAAATATTTTATCCAAATTGAACCAACGAAATAATATTATTATGCAAGCCGAGATTAATCTGATTTATTTAATGTCTCCAGAAACCATTTTTATTTTCGCCCGAGATTTTATTCCTAATTTATAATTTTAAAACACAAGTTATATCTTTTTTTTGTTATAAATTGGAACAATACAGACAAATCACTATACTGCATTATGTATTGATTATTATTAAAGCTGTCGCTCAATATTATTTATAATGTCTATTTTACTAATTACATTTTGGTATAATATAAATAAATTCAACAGCATTTTTTATCGATATATTTCATTATAGCCAAGTTTTGATAAAGAATTGTCTGTTCGATAAAATAAATGAAAATTATTATTCTCCAAAGTAATATTTCAATTTTGTTAGTAGATAGTAGTGATGGCCAACGATATAATTTTCAATATCGATATCGTATTTTTTTCCCCGATATCGTATTGCGATATCGGAAAAATACCAATATCGATATCGAAGCATATTAAAACATTAAAAGTATAGAATACATATTATATTATTATGAGTGTATTGAAAGTATATTAAAAGTATAGAATACATATTGTTTTAATATATTATGAGTGAAAATTAATTAACAATTATATATTATTTTGTACAAACTGAAAAGTATCCAATGTATTTAATCAACAAATGTCTTCTTCGAGCAGTTTTTCCATCAATGTTTCAGAACTTGGGTTCGATTTGAAATATGAAATCAATAATAACAGTTGATTGAGTCGCTCAGGAGATAATCAATTTATTTTCTTGGAAATGATTGTTCCAGTTTCGCTAAATAACCGTTCACAGGGAACACTAGTGGCCACTATACTTAAGTATTTTTTGGCTAGTAATGATACAGGTGAGTATTTAGATTCGTTTTCTTTCCACCAATTTAAAGGATCTTGATCGTAGGGAAATTTGATTTTCAAATTTTTATACTCTTCAAGTTGTTTCATCGTAGGAATAATTACGAAAAAAAACACGACGTCTCACCGCGAGTTAACAACCGGTACTGAATTTAGATTAAATTGTTTGGTGTGGTGAGTTATTTCTTTGGAACATATTAATATCGCCTCGTATCATAATCTACGTTAATCTACTTTTACAGATATAATAAAATATTATTTTATTTTATACTGTTTACTCAGTTTAGTGTTTAATCATCCTTAAAACCGCAAAATTCCGAGCCCCGATTAATCACACCGATTTCGCGATATTTTCGATAATTATTTTTAGATATCGATATCGAAATTATTAAGAAAAAACCTACGATATCAATATTGTATCGAATTATCGATATCGTTGGCCAACACTATTATATACTATATAAGATGTCTGCCAAATCGGACGGAGACGTTTTTTTTTTATTCGAGACGGCGATGGGGCGATGATATTATTAAAAATATTATATTTTATTATCTACCCCGAAACGAGTTTCGACCAACTAGTTTGTTTGTATATAGCGTGTCGTGTACCTACGGACGACAATATTGCATTTAATATTATTTTTTTTTCGTCTGGGATCAATGGTAATCGTTCGGTAAACATCCGACTGTACATAATATTATGTAGTTCATGACACACTAGGTTAGGTTAGGTTAGGTAACCTAACCTAACCTAACCTAATTAGTAGATAGGTATATGGTATATACTATAAAATTATAATATGTGTAGTACCTATTTATTATGATATAATGCTAAACATTTACAATAGTCATACATTTATCATAAGTATTTTGTATTCATTATTAATAAATACCATGTTTTGTAATAAATATTTCAGAGAGAGTTTATATTACATAGGTACATTAATGATAAATTCAATTATTTTGACATTTATTAATTATTGTTGACGGTTATAGTATAATTTTAGAGAATTTCAACAATGAAATAACTTGTTATTTTTATAGTATTGCATAATAAATATATTTAAATTATAGCAATAATATTGTTATACAAACTATATAATTATTGAATACAAATCCAAACCCTAGTGATGATTTATACATGCTTTCAGATTTAATAGCACAACACACCACATCCAACGATAAAAATCATACATATTAATAAACTCATAATTTAACTTCATAGACAAAAGTGTCACTAATGACTCATTTTTCAAGTCTTCGTGATTTTTAAATAAAAACAACAAACAACTATGCTTATGTATATATTAAAACAAATTTAGTTAAAGGCATTTTTTTGATTTTTAAAATATTATGTATCAAAATAAGGATATTTATTGATGTTTTTATTTAAATAGTTACCTGATATTTTAAAAATAAAAATAAAATGCATCAAATACATTTCTGTTATATTTAAAATTATTTTTTTTATAAAATAGTAGATAAATAAATAAAATCGATTTAAAAATATTTGTATATTATTATAGTCTTTGAACTATAATTTATATTTATATTACTTTAAAAATGAAATATTAATTATCTACCTGACCAAGATAACCAAAATTGGAAGATACTATTTGCTGTGTTATAACAAAATGTAGGGCCGATTATACTTAATATTTGAAGTAAATTCAATTATGAAAGTGTTTTTATTTAAGTTATTTTTTTTTACCCGAATTTGTTTTTAAAATATTTTATTCGGGTAAATAATTTTTGAACGCTAATGTAGATACTAAATTGTTCGGAAAGGTGCTTAGAAAGCGTAAGCCTATTTATTTTTAAAATAAATAAATCCTTTAATCCTTAAAATTATACTTGATTATTATTTTGCTGTTTATAAAATCAAAATTATAAATTTAAAAACTCCAGCTGTATCCATTGGCCGTAGAAACCGAAACTAATAAGATAATCTCATACATGTTAGCGCACGTCTACATGTTTAATTATTATTGTTATTTTTTTTTTTTTTTTTTATGCATAATATGAGATTCATAAATGTTTCGAACTTAATACTGTCACAGTTAGTCGGGTTTGATATGGGAGGAAAATATAAAAACAAAACCGCAGACATATTATGACGACGACGATTCAGTTACCGAACCGGTATTATTCTGTTTAGGAGGCAGTGTAGCAGTTAATGGTCCGCGGCTGAGACCTTGAGCGAAGCTATTTCACACTACGCGACGACGACGGTAGCATCAGACACCCATGAATGGGATGTTTGTACACATCATATATAGCAAACACCGGGAGCAGCTTCTGGTATACGAAGAAGAAGAGAAAAAACGTATGAATGGATCGAACCGGGAACCATGCGTGACCGGCGACCGTTGCTAATCACCACAATGTTCGGTCAGCTGATCAATATGATCTCCTGGCTCCACAATGTCTGCCATCGTTCATGGTTCATCTATCTTGTGGGAAAACTTATTAGAATTACCAACATACTGGTAACGTTTTCAAAAATTTGTCACAGTCCTCGGGGAACACCAAACATATTGCAGGGCGTCATACGTTTCCTTCAAAAACCAATAAATTTCCTAGAAGGGGTCAAATCGTTGTCGTAATATAAAAATAGGTAGGTACCATATAAACCGTTGACGGATCTGTTAATAGTGATCGACTATATTTTTCAATTGAAGAAAATATGTTAAAACAGATTTTTTTTTTATCTTAAGCTGCAGCTGTACATAGACAGTAATTCGTTCGCTATTTTAAAATTGTTTTTTTTTTTTCAAAACAACAAATATAATACGAAACACTGCGGGTGGATGTACACGCGTTGTCGGCTCTCGGACACATTAAACGTCGGTATAAAACTCAATGAACGACGGTGGTGGCGGCTGCACTATAGAAGCATTGTAGATGAATTCGTGCCGCATGGTTCATTAGATATGCTCCACATTGATCATGCTGACTGGCAGGTTCACAGCAGCCACCACCGCTACCGCCGCCACCGACACCGGCCGACGACGGGGACGTGCGCTCATGGACAAGACACGTATCGTCGTCGCGGTCCTTGGCCGGTGAAGGGGTGGAGGGAACTAGACATTTTTATGCGTTTTTAGCCAGGCGATACCGCCGGGGACACATATTAAACGTGTATTGTCATTATCAGGGCTAGTGAGTTCATGCTCTAAAAAATGCCTAAATAAGTATGCACTTATGCACTAAAAGCTGGAAAAATATGCATTGAAATATGCCTTTAAAAGTTCAGAAATATGCATTTATATGCCCTAAAAATATAAAAATATGTATCAAAAATATGTAGGTTAAAAAATAAAAATACTATAAGTAAATTTTGGAATAACAAAAAATGTCCATTCATATTATTAAAAG